AGAGGCCCAGCGCACACACAGACACACACACACACACACACAAACACACACACACAGACAACCTCTTGTCAATATGTTTTTCGCATTGCATTGCTGCAAAAAAGGCATAAAAATAAAAGCCAGAAGTACAGAAATGGCTCTTAGATGATGCAAAGAGAAGGTATAGGAATCTCATGTAAATGCGGTGCTGCCGAATGTGATAGGTAGAAGTGCCACGTCCTTTGATTCTGAACTGCACACATCCAGTTAAGTGAACGCCTGTTCGATACATGTACGCCATCTTTTCAGACACGTACGCTATACTGATGCGTAACTGTTGTCAGCAAGTGCAGTATCATGCGCAGCCCAGTGGATTTTACTTTTTCGTGTGGTCATATTGGCACCTTCCATGCCTCTCATCGCAAGAAGACTCGCACTGCACAGGCAGTCACGAACAGACACACTAAGCATCCTTCGCTTTGCTGCTTTCTCTCTTACAGTCGCTGTCCCCGTTCCCGTGACCGATGCCGTACTGAAAAACTGGGCACAATTCTTCCAGTCCAACATACTGAATGCATCAATGGTACCACAAAATTCGCGCTAGTCAGCAGCCTTTCGATTTGCAATCTCCAGCTGCAGGCGACTCTGGCCAAAGATTTCCTTAAAATTTTTTTCCAAGTCCAAATAATTCTCTCGCTCCCTAACCACAGAATGAAATTTGCGGACATCCACTGAATCAATGAAAAATAAGAGAATGATACAGCTACGGACTAAGCTGAAAATAAACATGCATATACACAAATAATATGAACAAAAAATATGAAAAAGATCCAGTTAGAAGGTTATTATGCAGTGCAACATGCATTTCAACTTTTGAAATAGTCATAATTTCAACTTGCGAAGCTAGCATTAAGAGTTATAATTTCTTTTAGGCCTCGATGATTAAAAAACCAAAGGCGCATGCGCAGAAACAGTGAATAATACTGTCACGGATTATCAACGAAACCATACACAGAATGTTCCAGTGACTTTCAAATGACTTTTTTATGCAGTGAGCCTCAAAGAATAGCATCAAGAACTTCTGCTTACTTCGGCAGTGCTCGATTCGTAGCAGAGGACCGTGCAAGAGACACTGGAAAGTGATGCGCTGTTGCATTGCTATCACCCTGAAAATCAAAAAAAAAAATCACCTCCTGCACAGCATTCGTCCAGTCAAAAGTATTTCGGGCCAACCGTCTGACGAATGCAGCACTATTAAAGTATCAAACAAAAATTACTCGGTTTTGTTGCTCTAAAATGGCAGCAGAGTACCTGTCGCACACAGTGAGAGGAAGGGCAGTGTGATGCGGTGAGGAGAATGTGTGAACTAAAAAAAAAAAAATTCTTCCACGCCTACTACCCTGGCGTTATTAATCGGGCTACTCGCAAACAGAATCCGACCATATTAGGATGTGAAAGACGACTGCCGCAATGATCTCGTGAGCTGCCCGCCTTGTTTCTGGACACAACTACGGGCCCAGCAAACCCATCAGCAGCCGTTGCGCCAATCTCACCGTATGGATTTTCCAATTCTTTTCTGAAATTAACGAAAATGAAGAGTGCGAGGAGACGAATACCTGGAACTCCAACAAACACAATTATGGAAGTTTAAGCAGAGGCACTGAAGGTGGCCAGATGGCGAGAATTAAAAGCGATGAAGTGAAAGCGAAGGGCCGGAACAACAAAAATTAAAGAGATTTTAAACAAAAGGGCCGAAACAACAAAGACTGAAGAGGGGAATCATAAAAAGGAAACCAAGAGGCCAAGCTAAGAAAAGAAATAATGAATAATTTAAATCATGCTGCAACCAAAAAAACGACAAAAAATAAAAAGACTCTTATTCCATGAAGAAACAATGTTTAAAACATTTGATTTGGAAAACAGAGGTTTAAGGGAAGAATTACAAGGAAAAGCAGAAGAAGAAACCAAAAGAATTACTTCCTTGTATTTCGGCAACACTGCGTCGAAACACAAAGTGTTAACAGTGAAACCATTGTACTGATCGAAAAGATCTGCAAAATGAAAACGCTTCAGAAAACAGCAAGCAACCGTATTTGTGTAAAAGATTAGGCAATGCGCGCCGATGTACTAGCTGAGGATGCGGAGGTTAACAGAGGACAACAACTCAATGCCACACACACACACACTTGAAGCAGTTAGGTCGTTAACTGTACGAATGGTTTCCGCTTATATTTAGTTTATGTTTGCAGTTTGCAGAAAGAAAAGTGACAATTTTCCGTTGAATGACCATCCATTGGAAATGACCAGGCTGTTCAAAGAGCAATTTTCCCGCCGAGACTTTCGCATGCTCAACCTGAGAACCACGCATACTCGCAGAGCGAACCTGAAAACTTTGAACTGTACGAGGCCCTCTCAAAACTTCGGCACTCCAGCCTTCCTGGTTTCCAAGTTAGCAATTTTTCCGCCAAAAAACTTTTACCCGCTCGTATGCAGGACTCAGACGTGTGTGAAGGTTGGTATCGCGACTTTAGGGTGGCATATAGCCAGGGAACGCAGCGGCAAAATTTCTTGGTTGCCGAGTTGAAATACCCTGACAGACGCAACGCACGCACACGTGCAAACATACACACACACACACACACACTCAAACATACGCGCTACATGCTCACCATGGGTCTTCACAATATGCGTTTCTGTACGCATGCAAAAACGGCAAAAGAAGTATGCGTGGAAAATGCAAAAGTGTTACAGCTAAAATGATGGGATAGAACGGAACGAGCGAACTCGGCGATTCAGTGCGATATATGGCCATTGCATGTGCTGAGTGCCTGCAATAAACACAGCGAAGCTAGCAAGCCGAACACCACCTGCGCCTGCTCAAAAACAGCGCTGATACCTGGTCCAGTGCTCACTGGTCGCTTATGCTGCCTCCTCGTCCTCATCCCTTACAGGCATCCTGAAAAAGGGAGAGGAAGGGC